GGCGCTTACAACCCACCAGTTGCCTTTATGCTCCGCATTGTTTGGCATCTGATGCATGTTTCCGGACGGAGAAGCGATGTTGTTGTTGCGTTCGCAGTAAGTCCTGGATGCTTCCTGTTCACTGGATGAGGATGCTCTGCATAGCATGTGGGCCATCCAGTTCTGCTTCACCCACTTGTGAGCACTTCCGCTTGCATTGTTGCAGTGATCGAGACGTGGAGACTGACGACAGCTAACTTGTTGTTTCAGCGTCTCAAGTTTGTTGCAACTGGTGGAACAAAATCATGGTTTTGCTGCAAACTGCGAGTGCAGCTGATGTGGGACCGACAAGCAGGCATCCGTTGCTTCTGAAAGAAGTCTGTCACGTCTAGAACACTTGGCCTTCGTTGTTTCCACGCCATTCCAGTCGAGTTCAGCAAATATTTTTCCAGTGTAGATCCCCAGCCGATGCACCACGACGACCATGACCATGATGAAGCAGTCCTCAAAAGCATAAGGCATAAGAGAATCCGGACGAGGGCACCACCCTGGACCATGGCGGTAACGCATCGTGCTTGCCTGCGTCTGTGAGCCTGGCTATGTGCCTGCCTGCCTGCCTGCCTGCCTGCCTGCCTGCCTGCCTGCCTGCCTGCCTGCCTGCCTGCCTGCCTATCTATCTGTCTGCCTATCTTATCTGCCTGTTTTGCCTGCCCTACCTGCCCTACCTGCCCTACCTGCCCTACCTGCCCTACCTGCCCTGCCCTGCCTGCCCTGCCTGCCCTGCCTGCCCTACTTGCCCTGCCTGCCCTGTCTGCCCTGCTTGCCCTGTCTGCCCTACCTGCCCTACCTACCCTACCTGCCCTACCTGCCCTACTTTCCCTCCCTCCCTCCCTCCCTCCCTCCCTCCCTCCCTCCCTCCCTCTCTACCTGCCTGTCTGTCTACCTGGCTGCCTGCCTACCTGCCCGTCCGCCTGGCTGCTTGCCTACCTGCCCGCCTATCCCGTCTGTCTGCCCGCCTGCCTGCCTGTGCCTGTCTGCCTGTACCTGCCTACCTGTGTCTGCCTACCTACCTGTGTCTACCTGTGCCTACTTGCCTGGGTCTGCTTGTGCCTACCTGTGTCTACCTGCCTGCCTACCTGCCTGCCCCTCTCTCTCTGCCTGCCTACCTGCCTGCCTCTCTATCTACCTGCCTCTTTGTTTATCTACCTCTCTGTCTGTCTGCCTCTCTGCTTATTTGCCTCTCTGTCTCTCTACCTGCCTGCCTCTCTACCTGCCTACCTCTCTGCCAGGCAGAGAGGCAGGCAGAGAGGCAGGCAGGCAGGCAGAGAGGCAGGCAGGTAGAGAGGCAGGTAGGCAGAGGGGCAGACAGGCAGGTAGTTAGAGAGGTAGGTAGCCAGAGAGGCAGGCAGGCAGAGAGACAGGCAGACAGAGAGGCAGGCAGGCAGGCAGGCAGAGAGGCAGGCAGGCAGAGAGGTAGGCAGGCAGAGAGGCAGGGAGGCAGGTAGGCAGGCAGAGAGGCAGGCAGGCAGGCAGGCAGGCAGGTAGGCAGAGAGGTAGGCAGGCAAAGAAGCAGGCAGGTGCAGGTAGGTAGAGAGGCAGGCAGGCAGAGAAGTAGTCAGGCAGAGCGGCAGGCAGGCAGAGAGGCAGGCACTGTCTGCCTGTCTCTGTCTGCCTCTCTGCCTGCCTCTCTACCTGTCTCTCTGCCTGTCTCTCTACCTATCTCTCTGTCTGTCTCTCTGCCTTTCCGCTTGTCTTTCCGTCTGTCCGTCCGTCTCGTTCCGTCCGTCCGTCTGTCCATGTCTGTCCGTCTCTCTGTTTCTTTATTATCTCTATCTGGGTAATTGTCTGGGTTTCTATTTCTCTGTCTATTTGTGTGTCTACTAATAAGTATTTCAATGGAATAGTGATATGTAGTTCCTTTTCCCGTCGCAGGAAACAACAAATAGATTAATGGTAAAATGGCTTGGAGCTTCTTTACCCTCATTATTGGCAATAACGGTATTATTCCAAAATTTGAAATTTATACCGATATTTAGAATAGACGATTTGATTTATATATTTCGTTATATATATTTCTTTATTCTCGGTGAGATCTTTTTTTATATCCGAATAATTATATCTAAAAAATAGCTCTTTATTAAAAAATCATTTCGTCTAATATTATTACAAATGATTCTATTATTATTTAATATCTAAAGATATCTGTCTCATGGCAAACGATTCACGGAGTATAAGACTACGTATTCTAGTTGAAACCAATTCACATGTATCTGTCTCTGCTAATTCTTCGAATATTTGGTCTCGAACGAAGATTTTTGGATTATAAACTCTAGGATTACGATTTTCACGGCACGAACTAAGCGCCTTAGATTCCCAATAAGTATTCTTGCCAACATATTAAAATAGATCAAGGCTCTCCGGAAAAATCGATGACTTGTCGTCAATTATCGATATCTCCAATTATTTCAATTCAACCGCCAATTTATCAAGAGCTCCCGAAGGCCATAAACCCTTCTAAAACAAAATTCTTGAGAATTTAGATTTTAGTTAGATATATTCTCCTTAAAAATATTTCGGAATTATTTTAGCAAGGAATTTATTATATATCAAAATATCATAATATATTTATCATCGAAAATTCATCTCTTAAAAAAGAATCTATGAAACAAATTAAAATAAATTCTTAAAAATATCGATTTTATTCTTTACTAAACAATAATATCAGAAATCATATAAGAAATTATTCTCTTTATTTTTTTGCCTTTTCTCAAAATAAATAAAGCTCTTTATATTATAGATAGATCGGTGCTATATTCAAATATCAGAAAAATATGAAATAATAATAAAAAAAAAGAAGAAGAGTAGAATAAGCTAAAAGATAAGATAATAAGAATACATCAAGAAAACAATCACGATACAAAGAATCAGAAGAATTTAAAAACAGAAAAAACGAAAGAAAGAAGAGACGAATAAGAACGAATTTAATAACGAGAAAGAATGAAATCAAGATAATAATCCAGAGAAATATTCGATATCTATGTAGAATACACATATAATAGAGGTAAATGAATAATATCGATATCGAATTAAATTAAGAACAAAAAATTCTCTAAGAAAAAAACGAATTTAAAAAAAAAATTATCTCACGAACGCAAGATTCATTTCTCATTAATCATCTAAAATATATATCTTCCGATATTAAAATATTATTTCAAAAAATTACATATCAACAGAGACAATATATATCTCCAGATGCCAATCTTTTTCAGACGCCATTTTCAAGACTTTTTCATTCCATTCCAGAACTTATTGTGGTACTTCATTCCCAAATGGACGCTATTTTTTCTCGTCCCATAAATCGATGCCTTGCAAAGTCAGGTACTTAGCTCCGAAATTGACAAGCACCCATTCGAGATCCCCTTCCGTGTGCTTACAATACATCATCACCGCTACAACATGGCATCACGGCACATCGCAAGCAGTCATTCCCCATCTACAGTAGCTGCTCGATTCCACGAGCGCCCACTCGAGACGCACATCAGTGGCAGCACACCACATCAAAACCAGCCATTCCCCAACTAGGCGCTCGATACCACAAGCACCCACCCGAGAAGAACGTCACCGGCCACACACCATATCCAACCCAGCCATTCGCAAACTAGATGCTCGATTTCACAAGCACCCACTCGAGACGCACGTCACTGGTAGCACACCACATCCAACCCATCCATTCCCCAACTAGACGCTCGATTCCACAAGCACCCACTCGAGACGAATGTCTCTGGCACACCACATCCAACCCAGCCATTCCGCAACTAGGCGCTCGATTCCACAAGCACCCACTCGAGACGAACGTCACCGGCAACACACCATTTCCAACCCAGCCATTCGCAAACTAGATGCTCGATTCCACAAGCACCCACTCGAGACGAACGTCACTGGTAGCACACCACATCCAACCCATCCATTCCCCAACTAGATGCTCGATTCCACAAGCACCCACTCGAGACGAACGTCACCGGCAGCACACCACATTCCCCAACTAGACGCTCGATTCCACAAGCGCCCGCTCGAGACGAACGTCACTGGCAGCACACCACATCCAACCCAGCCATTCCCCAGCTAGACGCTCGATTCCACGTGGAACCATCGGATCGTTCACAAAGGGAAATGGTTGTTTGAAAGCGGTTTCCCGAGTGTGGACGCTGATCGATGCGTATCTCAACCCAGCGATGCGAGATAAAGAGACCCCCTGTACTTATATTCAGGGAAATTTATAAATTTCAGAATTAAACAGGTAGTGAATCTAAAAAATCAGAAAACCTGTACGAATATTTAGATTTAAGGTTCAACCGTCGTATTTAGCCTTGCGACTGTTGTAGTTAGCTCAATCGTATTAATTTCCTGCACGAGCGTTCTTTGTGGGGCACAAAGATCTGAGTGCCAAACTGCTGCTCCATTACCCAGTGCGAATCTCGCCCAGACATAAGTTGCAAAGCGGTGGTCATGTTCGTGAGGATGCAAAGCGAAAGTTGAGCCTCGAACGGTCGGTACTTCTTGTTTCCCACGTTCCACGAAGGCTCCTCCGATGAATCGATGACAATGACCACCAAAAAACCGCCGGGTAATGCCACGATGACCAGCCCGAGAAAGGGTCTCGTAGCCGCCCTCGTTGCAACTCGTGCTCAACATACAGCTTTGCCTTCTTTGCATTGTGAGCCCGCCTCCGTTTGATTGAACACGCCCAGCGAAAGCACGTCTCCCTTCCATGCTGGAATTACTCGCCACAGCCGTCGTCCTATTGTGATGTTTGTGGGCAGTCTTGCCGAACTTCGTGTTGCGGGCTTGCTGCTTGCCCATGGCGCTAACCGAGGTTGTACAGTCTGGCACCACGAGCCAGTTCGAACTACTGTCTGTCACACATCTTCGACTGATGCTTCACGCATAGCCAAGCAACTCCAAGCAGAATTCAATGAATCGGCTAAATGCACAGCATGGTTGCCCGATCAGGATTGCCTCGCTCAGGTCAATTGTGATAGTACCTCTCCATCTGGCAAAGTTGAAGCTATGATGCTGTTATGTCATGCTATTCCTGCAAAGCCTTTGATGTCTTGCACTGCTCAATAGCTGCCTGCTCGACCACCATACGTGGGTGCATTTCAGGATATGCTCGCTGTCCAAGCGTCAGCACGGCATCCAAAAAGTCCTCATCAGCTGTGCTGATAGCAAGCCGGGCATGGTTGATGTCCGTTCCCCGAAAGACTCCGTGTCAGCCAGGAAAACACGTTTGTGGTTTGTGGACACGTGGAATACTTGCAGTTTTTGGCCAGGCCAAGCGTCAAACAATCGAAGAGCATCAGGCTTCGTCTTGTCACGAGAAACCTCACATGTCGGCTGACACTTCCAAATAATGCTTGCGTGCTTGTTATTGGAGTCAGGATGCAAAGCGAGTGGATCTACAGCGCTGAGACAGCATGTCCAAGTCCTGTTTTTCCAAACCACCTGATGGCTTCAGGAAAGCGATCGCAGTACATAAGACCTTCAGAGACTTGCAATGCTTCAACTTTGCATGTGGTTGAGAGTGTTGGCACACGAGAGGCGAAGTCCCCGAGTTTGCAGCCGGCACTAGCCAACCCCTGCACACTCTGGGCAAGTGACGGGCGATCAAAGTTGACATTTCAGATTCACCGGCTGCTTTCCCACGCTCGCGCAGGGAATTGCTGTCGTTCACAGAGCCTCACCTCCGAAGTTACATTGTTACATATTGCCATTCCCACCTGTGCTGCACAAAGGCCCGAAAGTACGTCGGAGGCCAGTGCTCGTGAAGGCCTTGGAGGCTCCTGCAGGCGGCGCGTGCCAGGGGAAAGCACAAGAGAGAGCACAACGTCAGCTCCTCCGGCTTGATAGTAGAATGCCTCGACTCGTGCTAGCAGTTGCCAGAGGCTGTCGTTGCTCACCGGGATATGCATGAAATTCTCAGACTCGACGCTGCCGTTCGTGTCGATTCCGAGCAATGCCTGGAACGTTTCGCGCATCACTGCAGACTTTACCTCCAAGTCCACCAGTGACGTCTGATGACGGTGCACTTCAGCCATGTCCATGCACCTGCAAAGCTTCTCTTCACCCATGTCTGGTTCAATGGGAAGCGCTTCATCAATACTGATCGAAGGCGAATTATTCACCTCCAGCAAATAAGCCTTGAAATCATGGCCAAGCATAACGTCGAAGCCCAAGACCTGAAAGCATCTCATCTCATCGGAACTGCCATGCTGTCGATGATGACATGTCAATGTCGGCGCCATGATGCCGAGGACTTTCTGGGCTATCCCGACTGCATCAGCATAAAATGCCTGCACTGTGTCACAATCGCACCGCAATTTCAGACTAGACTTGACCTGATCAAGTTGCCTCAATGTCGAAGTCAAGATGTTCATGGCAGAGTTGCCGCAAGCAGACTGTGAGAGGACGCTTTGAAGCCGTGTTGGCGTCATTGTAGACTTCCTCCACTGATTGGCCACCTCATACAGAATGCTTGCTGCAAGCTGTGTCGATTGAAACGCCCGGCTATAGTAGAGGAGAGAACTTGGCAGGATTGCCCAAGACCCCGGCAATGCTCGAACTTGCTGCTGCGCTTGTTCAACGAATAGTTGGTCAGATGTCCTGTGCTCCCGCCCCAAGTTCTACCTTGCCGCTGGACCTACAAGTTCCCAAAGCAAGAGCCTCACAGATCCGCATCAAGAACACCAGATGTCAGCAAATGTCCAAACTCCCTTATTGTTCAGCCCCGTCTCCCATGCACCGATGCATGTTCTTCTTTGACGGCTGCTCGTAAGCCTCCGGGGCAGGTACTTCGCAGAGCTCGTTCGGTGTCAATGCTCGTCCACAGTACAAACATGTACCAACTATCATACTCTGCTCTACGTCGCTACGCTGCTCTGTGCAGGCAAAGCCTCCGTGCAGAAGCGGGCAAGGCCCTCGCGGCAAAGCCAAGCTGCAGGAGGAGCCCTGGACGAGCCTCCCGCCAGGCAAACATACCTGCGCTTTCAGAAAGCTGGTGGCCGGTTTACTAAGTTACTTCAGATCTGCACCCAAAGGGCTTAGTGAAAGTCAGACATCTGAGATCTGCAAGACTTGAAGTCCCAGAAGCATGCGAAGGTCAAACTTGAGCCCATGGAGAAGTAAAGGTTTGCTGATGTACTTCTGCACCACCGCCGCTCCACTTTGTGCAGAAAGCTTGATGTCCAGCTGATGCAAGCCTTGCACCAAGAAAATGCCGTCGCCCTGCGAGCCATCCTCCGGTTTCACAATGTAGGTACTCTTGGACTTCTCCAAAACGCCCCGAAGCTCTTCCAGCTGCTCTGGCAAAACCCACGTGCGAGGATTGAACTGGAAATGTCCCTCAGGACACAGGCGCTGACAAGATCTCATCATTCGCGCCAAGTTCCCCTTATCACACAACTCCGGAGCTCCAAAGTATCGCGACACCCAGCTTCGTGGGCCAAGTTGGGACCAGCGCTTCAGTAAGTCTGAGGTTTGCATAACGCAAAAGATCACAGGTCGCTTCCTGCTTTCATCCGCTGTTGCTGATGCGATGTCCACTTCCCGCCAGCCCAGGCTTGCAGCAACATGTGAAAACAAGTCCTTCGCATGCTTCCCCACACAATCCGTCGTGATCACCTCAGAAGAACACTCTGAAAGCGTCGCAGGCCCATATCTAGTCTGCGCTGTTGCGATCAACCAACTAAAGGTAGCTGCATGCTCTTGTGTAATGCTTGGCTTGGTCCCAGTCACCGTGAAAGGGCTGCCTCTCGTGCTTTTGTGGCCTGAAGGCTTGGCAGGCGCAGTTGCCGGTGATTGCCCAGGCGGCAGGGGCGGAGGCGGAGGCACGGGCGGAGGTTCAGGAGGAGGCGGAGGCGGAAGTTCAAGCGGCTCTGCCGGGTCACCGGTTTCTTGCTGCAGATCCACAACGTCCAACATGCTTGATCAGCGTGTCGTCAGAGCAGTCCTTGTTGTGTCCCTTCGCCTGCCTCTGCCTGCAATCGCTTCTCGTGCATATTCGGTTTTCATATGCTGGCCTGGCTCAGAACAGGGTATGCTGAGCAATTTCTTTGGCGTACGTCAATTCTTCCAGCTTTCGATCTGTCTTAGTCTTTGGACTTTGACGGCCAAGGCCGTCTCAAGTTGCACATGTAATGGGCTCTCAATGATTGGACTTGGCAGCGGGCTTGATCGAGCATACACGCAGAGTCAGAGGCTGTCTGATCACGAATGCTTGCAGGCTTGCGGCCTATGCAAACATCCTGCTATAACCAGTTAGTTGATTGTGATTTCACTGGTCAGTATCCAAAGCTGAAGCCATGCTTCTCTTCCTCCGGTCTACACCGTTCCTCAAGCTCGCTCGCGAAATGCCTTTTTTCAGATTCGGCAACATCCTTACGCAGACCTGTTGCCACGTTGCCAGATGCGCTGCCTGCCAGGACGGCTGAACTTGACCGAACAAGCAGAACTTGATGAGTGCAGTGTAAGCTGCAACCGTGGCAGCAGTAGTCGATCCTGGCCCTCCCGGAAGCCCACAACTCTTGGCTGTGAGCCGAGCAGTCAGTGGCAGTTGACATCTTCTGAACCGAGCCAGCGGCCGGTTCATGAGATCTCGTCTGCATTGTGCATAGCCCTGCCCAAGAACGGACAACAAGATAGCAGCTACACAAAACAGCGGCTTGCAACTGTGCACGTACGCATATAGAGGCTCGTGCCTTTCGCAACCATATGCACTCCTGTGTAACGTACTCAGGGTCGTTGGAGTTGAGGCACTCCTCAGAGCGCACATCAATTGAAACGAACTGCCGTTAGCTTGCGGATCTCTGGAAAGTATCGTGCAGCTGGAAGTCCTCGAAAGGTGCACCCTCTTTGTAACATCGGGTGCCTTCGTAGCATTTCAGCATGTCCTGGCATTTACAGCAGACTTAGTCACTGGGCACAAGTGCAGTGAGGATCCGGGATTCCGACTTCGCGGATTCGCGTACCTCGGCCGATCCAAATCAATTTCTGTCAAAGCTGCAAGAGACTCTGTACTGCTACTTCGGCAGCGCGACGTTTACTACAAGCTCCAAGTTCTGAGCTCCTGGCAAGAGTTGGACGGCTTCCTGTGCGGCTTTGCAGGGTCGATGGCGTAGGAGCCCGGAGGAAGCCAAGGCTCTTCCTGCAAAGAACATGCCCAAAGAATCCGAGGAGTAGAGTCACGATTAATCTTTCATTCTTGTGTCCTTGCAAACAGCGTTGCTCCTCGCCATTCCTCCCTCTCTCTCGCTCTCTGTGTACATCTGTACATGATCAGTCTACGCTGCAGCAGATTAATGTATAGCCATAGAGTAAACTGGAAGGCGCAAGCAGTTGACGAAACGAACAGGAAGTACTAACTGAAACATCTTGACCATCATCGTCATGATCTTGACGTTTCTTCTTTGGTCTTGTTCTGTAACTGCTCCCGCTACCACTACTGCTGCTTCTGCCTCTGCCCGTGCCTCTGGCACCACCAACACCACTGCAAGTACTAGTACCAGTGCCGGTGCCAGTGCAAGGACCATTAGAGCACCAGTAGTTGTAGCAGTGGTCGCAGTAGTAGTAGTA